AAAAAAAAAAAAAAAGAATATGGACTCTGCAATCACAACACATGAATCTGAATTGAAGGTCTGCCACTTAACTATTTTTGTTATTTGGGCAAGTTATTCAACCTTTCTATTTCAGTTTCCTTATCTGAAAGATGTGGCAATAATAATATCCATCTCATAAAGGATAGTAACACTATCTCATGAGCATTAAATAAAAACATTTATGAAACACCCCTAGGAGTCTGTATTTCAAAATAATTCAGATAAATTCAAAACTGATTTCAAAATAATTCAGATGTTATTTGTCTTTTTGTCTTCAGACTTTCATTGATATTGCAAAAATAATGGCAGTAAAGCTGCTTATGACTTAGCACAAATCAAGATAATGATGCCAAACTTACTAGTAGTTATTATATTCTGTCCCATCATGTATTCTGTTGCCAACTTCACTTAAAAATGTCTAGAAAAGCAGCAAACATTACTAATTTCATTAAATTTTAACCCTGAGTATATATGTCTTTTTGATATTCTGGGCTGATAAAATAGGAAATATTCATAAGGCAATTCTGTTCATACTAAACTACAATGGTTGTCTTGAGGAAAACCACACTGTGATCATTTTAGCTGTGAGCTGAAGTAGCTACTTTTCTTGGGGACTACCATTTATACATGTGAAAGAATAAATGAAAGACAAACTATGTTACCCATGTTGAGTATTGACAACTTCTGAAAAATGAACAAAGTGTGTAGAGGATTAAAAATCATACTTACTACAACAGCCACCAATATCATAACTCATCTGAGGAATTGCTGAAGTTAAGACATTCTCCTGGCAAGCCTGGAAACCTCTTATCACTTGGAGGCAAGCTGCCAAGTAACTCAGTAATCCTGGAGGAGCAAAGATCAATCCTGTGGTTCTAAGGCTGATGTCAAACAGCAAGCATTTTATGGCAGTTCCTTGAAGAATTAGTGAAGGAAATTGCATGTAGTCTTTTTGGAAATCATTTCCTTGAGTATATAACTTTTTACCATCTTTTGTTTACTCATATAGATCATTTTCTTGAGTACGTAGCCCCTAAAACACATGGTCCCTGAGCACACGGCCCCTGCATGTCTTTGCTTAGTAATCTTTCTGCACACTGTGTATCTTCTCAATAAAAGGACTCTGCGAGAAGTGCTCAGTGCAATCCTGCACCTATGGGTAGGCTCACCTCTGGCAGCGTGTACTGTCAATCCATGTCTCATGTGATCATTTATGCAGGTGTGACAAAAGTGAGCTTATCATTTCAAGAAAAACAAGTGAAAACAAAATATGAGCTTTTAGGCAGAAATTACAAGGTTTGGAAAACTTTCATCTACTAAGAGCTTGACAGATTCCTAAAATTTAAAGACTTTTCTGATAAGGTAAGTTAGGAATTAAAAATTATGATTTTTTAAAAATATTGTACAATGTCAAATATCAACATGGAAGAGCTACATGATTTAGTGAATTAAGTTTTGCCAAAAGATCAATAGATTTCAACGTAACAGAGTCTGAAAAATTTATGGATATTAAGAAACTACCACTTGTTCTGTTTTTAAATTGTTTAAAAGAATAGCCATGATTATATAAAAAGGCTATAAAACGTATCTTTTTCCCACTTATCTCTGTGTGATACTGGATTTTCTTTACACACTTCAACAGAAGTGTGTAAAGCATGTATCACGACAAACTGCATGAACAAGCAGGTACAATTATCTTCTACTAAGCCAGATGTTAAAGAGATGTGCAAAAGTGTAAGGTAAGGCCATTCTTCTGAATTTTTTTTTGTTTCAGAAAATAGTATTTTTTTCATAAAATGATTCTGTGTTTACAATTGTTAATTTTAAATAAATTAGCTGAAATCTTAAATATTTCTGTTTTAATTTCTGATACAATAAATATTGATAGATATGTATAACCCATGTAAACAAAACTTCAAGGTATTCAGTAATTTTTAGAGTTATACTAGGTCCTTTGATGCCAAAACATTCAAGAACTGCTATAATAGAGCACAGAAACAAAGGGAGGGTAGCTGTAAGGTTGGAATAGTGAGTAAAAGCCAGATTTTGCAAGATTTTGTAGGCCTCAAAGATTCTGTCTGTTATCCTAAAGGCAATGAGAAGCCATTGTATTGTTTTAACCAAAGGGATGACAGGATTGGATCTGATTTTGAAAACGTCACTCTTGTTACAATGTAGTGGATGGAGTATGAGCAGAGGTGGGCTTCAGGGGATTATCTTAGCAGCCCAGGCAAACAAAAGGGATGTGAAGCAACGTGAACAGTGAAGAAATACTTAGAATAGAAGTGGGTAAATACAATGATGAACTGAATAAAGATGAGAGGGAGAAATGTAAAGACTGCTCAGATTTCCGGCATGTATGCTTTGGTAAGACAGTATCATTAAAACAAGTACCAGAAAAGGGACCTATGGGGGTGGGGCCCATGGACATATTTTAGATGTTCAGTTTTAAATATGGTGTATTGAAATGTCATCAATATACACAAAATCAAACAGTTACACAAACATTCATAACAGGAGCTCTAGAGAGAGGTCTAGGATGGAAATATAAATTTGGTTCATCTATATTGAAGGTAACTGGTTGTGTGAATGATGAAGACTACTTCAGGAGAAAGCAGAGGCTGCCAACAGGTGACCAGTTGGCCAAACATGACCTCAGACAAGTTTTCTATGGCTCACACTGTTTATACAAACTTTTAAAATTACTTGCCTACATTAAAAAACAGGAAGATTTCACAAAAAGATGTAAATTTGAGGTTTCTCTTGAAAAAAACCTGGGTTTTCTCTTGAAAATACCAAATGACAATCACATTTAGAGCAGGGATTGGCAGTTACAGCCTACTGCCTATTTTTCTAAATAAAAGTTTTACTGGAACACAGCCACATCCATTCATGTGTTTTGTCTAAGGCTTCTTTCATACAACCATGGCACACTGAGTAGTTGCATAAAGACCATATGCCAAACAAAGCCTAAATATTTACTACCTAGATCTTTGCACAGAAAGTTTGCCAGCATTGAGCTGGAGCTGATGGAGGGATGGCCACTCCTTTAGGTTGAGGCCTGTGCTCTTCTGGTTTACCAGTTCCCACCCTGCTTGCTTCACTCAATTATATCACATCCTGGCCCTTGCAAGCCCTCAAGTTTATGATTCCAGGTATCCAAAGGGAAGGGATATTAAAATCAAATCTTGAGCAATTCAAACATTTCCCTGTTCAAAAATGAAGGCTAAGAAGGTACACCCAGAGAATTAAGAGGCAATTCTAAATGGATTAAGGACTTAAAGGCAAAATTAAAAATCAAATCTATTACAAAACAGAGACAAATATTTATGTAACCTTGGGGTGAGAAAAAAACTTTTTAAACAGTACTCAAAAGGCAGAAAATAAAAAATGATAAAATATTAAATTTGTACACCAAAAAATCTCTGTAAGGGAAAGGAAAAAAACTAGAAAAAATATCACAGCAAAGGGTTAAAACCTCATTTATGAAGAGCTTTCATAGATTACTAAGAAAATAGCAATATCTCCAACATTAAAGAAGGGTGGTAACCAGGCAAGTCACAAAAACTGACAGCCCTACAAAAAGAAACAGACATATCCATAATCACAGGGAAAGATATTAAAACTCAGTATCTAAAAGAACAAGATTAAAAAAAAATTCAAAATTTTCTTTATGAGATATACACATAATTAAGTATAAAAATTAAAACAGTATAGATAAAGTAAACCAGAGAGTCTAGAAACAGATACAAGTATATACGGGAACTGGGTGTACCACAGTAACAAAAGATTATTCAATAAATGACGTCAGACAGGCTTTAAGCATGGAAAAAGATACAACTAGTTTCCTATTTCACATCACATACAAAAATAAATACCTGCAAAACAAAAGTTGGACATTTTAGAATAAAGTACAAATTACCTTTCTGACATGCGGTAAGAAAGACAATTCACAAAAAGCAAACTATAAAAAACATCAAATCTGATAATAAAATTTAAAAATTCTATATGCCTAAGACATCATTAAATAAGTCAAAGATTGGAAGGACCAATGTTTTCTCACTGATTTGTAACACACTTTAAACATTAATTTATGAACAAAAGTATTAGTATTGAAAGTTTATAAAGAACTCCAAAAAATCCAGAGAAAGATATGAATAGCCCAATTTTAAAAGATGGGCAAAGGATTTCAACAGGTAGTTCAAAAAAGAGGAAACCTGAATAGCCAATAGGCATGAAATGCTCAAATTCACTTATATTTATTACCTAGACAAATGCAAATTTAAAAAATTTGAATTATTCTGCACCCATAAGACGAATGAGTCCATCAACATCAGACTTGGCTGATGGTAATAGGAACTTGGCAGTTCCTAGTAAAGCTAAATATGTAATGATTCCTTAAGACCCAGTAATTCTTCTTCTAGTCACCTACCATAAACCAGCTCTCAAGATGAACATAAGGAACAAATAACAGGATGACCACTGCAACTGTTACTGATGGCAAAAACAGTAAAAATAAACCAGTTTATTCACACATGGTCTTTTGAAAGATTAATATCAAAATACAATATAAAGTTAAAAAAACAGATTATAAAAGGAAAGGTATAACAAAATATATTGTTTTATGTACACATGTATATGTGTACATACATGCACATACATAGGCAAATTTGGAATGATTCACACCAACTTCAGGATATATTAGCTATTTGTAGAGAAGAATAAAAAGACTTTAACTGAACACAAAACTTTTTTATTTCCTTAAGAATTAAAAGATATCACATACCCAGAGGAATGGCTATAATGAAGATAGACAATATTAAGTGTTGATAATAAGCATGTGGAGCAAGTAGAACTCACCCTCCACAAGTGGGAATGTACTTGGCACAAGGACTTTGGTAGTATCTACCAGAAGTGAACATGAACCTATCCTATGACTCAACAGTTCTACTTGTACATATATATCCAAGAGAAGTGCATAAATGTGTTCACCAAAAGACATGTGAAAGAATATAGGTAACAGCATTATTCATATAGCCAAAGCTAGAAACTACCCAAGTGCCATCTTCAGGAGGATGGATAAAGAAACCAGCATACTGACAACAGGGAAGATTGTACAAAAGTAAGAATGAATGAACTACAATGACTTGCAACAACACGGATGTATCTGACAGTTAAGTTCAGTGAAAGAATCCAATGTAAGAAAACACACAGATACATTTATAGAAAGTTCAAGAACAGTCAAAACTAACCTACTGGTCGAGTATACTGGCTCACGCCCATAAGACACAAATACATGCAAACAATGGAGTGATACACACCTTCAAGATATACTGGCCAAGGAGGGATAATCTTTTGAGCTCAGTTCCAGAGCAGCCTGAGCAAAAGCAAGACCCCATCAATATTAAAAGCAGAAAAACTTGCCAGGTTTGGTGAAGTTTTACCTACTTGGGAGGCTCAAGTAAGAGGACTGCATGGTCCCAGGAGTTTGAGGTTCCTGTGAGCTATGATCACACCACTGCACTCTAGCCAGGCGCCACAGAGTGAGGTGCTACCTCAAAAAACAAACAAACCAAAAACCAACCTACTATGTTACAAGTTAGGATAAGGTTACCCATGGGAAGAGGGAGGCGACTGAAAAAGGGTATAAGGGTACTTCAGGGGGCTGCTGGTAAGGCCATTTCGTCATCTGTGCACTAGTTACATGAATGTTCAATTTGTAAAACTTCACAGAATTGCACAATTATGATGCTTTTAAGTATTTTATATTGAGAAAAAAAGAAAGGAAGATAGAAAACAGGCAAATGAGGCAAAATATTAGTATGTGTTTAATCTTGGTGATGAATACATACACGATACATGGGCATTATTTTTTTAACTTCTGTATATATTTAAAGTGTTTAGAATTAAAAACACAGTATCCACAGGCACCTCTAACGCTCTTTCTTATGTACTGAAGAGTGCTGCTTCCTCACTGCCTGCTGGGCTATCATTTCTGAAGGTTCCTACCTATCTGACTCACCTGAACAGGTACTTATGGGGGCTCTTCTCTCAAGCTTCAATGGTTCCTTTCCATTTTCCAAACTGTAGTTCTCAGATTTGGAAACTGGAAGCCCTGTTCATTTAAAAAAAAAAAAGAAAGAAAGAAAAAAGAAATTAGACCTAGCTATTTGTGATGGGCACAAAGATCTATCCCGGAGTATATTCCCAACCCCCCCGCCCCCAACAGAATACAGGATATTATAGGACAATCTGGAATAAGCTCTAAATGGAGCTTAAAACATCTGCAGCAAGAGTCTGGGCCTGGTAGAGAGTTAAAGTGAGTTTATAAAGACATATATTTTTACATGTGAAAAAAGAAAAGAATTTCTTTTAATTTTCTTATTGTGTGTGGAAATTTTAGAAAGATTACAGATGAGTTCTTACCTTAGGAAAGAAGATGAAGAAAGTGGGAATTCAATGGCAGTGCCACAAAATTGTGATTGTGGCAGTATAATTAGGATTTTTGTCTTCTAATGTTTTTCTTTTCCTCCTTCATTTACTAAAAGTCACTTCCTTTTTTAAATTTCAAAATATTAAGGGGGTACAAATGTTTTTTACACAGACACCCTGTATAACACTTAAATCATAGGAAAGTCACTTTCTAGTGGTGATTTGTTACTTGAGGTGTGGGAAGTATTATAGTCCCTTTTAACACACACACACACACACACACACACAGTGGCTGGCACAGGAGCCAGAACTGGCCAGAGAGTACTCTTTCTCGCTCTAGTGATTATTTCACTGATGAACATATGACTCTGTTGCTGACACTCAAGGGAAAGAACCATTTTCTCTTTTTGCTTAACTCTTTAACTGAAAGAATAATGAAACCCTAGGGCTGCCGATCGTCATCTTTGCCACATGGACAGATGCTAAGAATAAAGCTAATACAGGGAAAAATCAAACCAATTTTATGGTTAAAATATATAAAACATATTCCTGATAATATGTTTGATTTTCTGAATTAGGATTGTTTTCCTTTAAGATAACGTGAATTAGATTTCTGTCAATTTAAAGCATCCTGAAATAAAACAAGCATCAACATTCACCATGAGCCTAGAGCAGAAACAGATTTCCTCTAGGCCCCGCAGAATGACACTTTTTGACTCCTGAATACAAAAGTGAAGGCTTGGTTAAGCTATTTGACATTCGATAAAGTAAGGATGTCCCCATAAACAGATTCCAAAGTCACAATGAGAATACATTCTTACAAAGCGAGACCAGGTTCCTATAGTTCTCCAGCATCACATCCCTTTGTATAGGATCCAGCTTCCCCCACTCCTCTGGTGTAAAGTCCATGGCCACATCCTTGAATGTCACTGTTTCCTAAGAAACAAACACAATTTTGCTCACCGTCTGACTTGATGACATCCCTTTCATGCCCAGTTTCTGCTGCCCCATGAGGGGGAAATGACTGTGATAAGTGATATGTATCCTAAGAGTATTCAGATTCCAAATATTCTATGTACAGTCACTTGGTATCAATATGCCAGGCAATTCAATATGAGAACCAAAAGAAGTAAGACCATGGTTTCTCCCTTGAGATACTAAAAGTCTTCTGGGGAATTAAGTATTAATTCCATGAACCAATTAAACATGAACCAATAAGTCAACAATGTAATTTGACAAAGTAAATTACAGGTAAAGGGAAAAAAAGGCATGTCTGCATAACTCCCCTGTGAGTCCCTAATACAAACTAGAATACTCAATCTGGCCAATCACAAGATGAACTGTAATATAGAACTTGTGCATGGAGAAGTTATGAAATGAAATGATTGGCAGTGAGCACCAAATCCAGTTAAACATGAAATTAATTTAAAGCAAAAAGTATTAAATGGAAAATGACAGCAAAAACAAAAATTCAAGTATGATATAACTCACAAATTTTTATGTGTAAAATATCATAAGGTTATATTTCTGTAAGATAAAAAATATAAAAACTTTAAGGAGATAGAGTTGTGTCAGTATTTAATATGCCCCTTCAAGCAAAGCCATAGACAATGGAAATAATTTTCCAAGGTTTCTGAAATACATACCAAATGCTGTAGCTGAAGAGAAAACACACTTTATGTAAACATTCATTAAATAATTGTGAAAAGTAACTAAATAACTAGGAGGCTGCCTCAGCCAAGTAGCTGGGTCTGCCACATATCTGGATATAATACTTTGCGTTCAATACAAAATATGGAAAAATATACCAAATTGTCACCCTCAGTAGACTGAATTTGGGGAGAGAAGGAGTATTATCATAATATATCAATGTCTGTACTGTTTACCTTGTTACAATGAGCAAGAATTAAAACTTTAATATTTAAAAAATCTAATAAGTAGAAGATAAAAAAATAGCCCATGCAAATTTCAATGAGAAAAAAAGTTACAATATTAGCATTAAACAAAAGCTAGAGACATGCAAAATAACAGATTTTTAAAAAATTTCCATAAAAGGTACAATCGATAACAAAGTATACTAGAAATATATGAAGTATTCATCCTTGTTTGGGTACCTGTACCCTGATTTCCCTCCAGCCACTATGCCTGGCCACTTTTACTCTGTATAGTTCAGGTAATATTGACTCTGGCTTATGGTTGGAATCTGTTTTTATGTGTGTACATGTAGGCAGAGTAGTTCCATAGAGAAGTAACTGAACTTTACAACTTGCTCAGTCATAGGCCTAATACCCCATTAAAGTTGATCAAACACTTTTGCAGGAATTTCTACAAGAGAAGCTACCATTTTTCTCTCATGCTTCACGTGGGAAGATGTAAGCCTAAACTTGTTTAAGGATAGTACTAGAAGAAAACCCTGCTTGAGAGTAACACCCTTGGAAAAAAAAGGTCAGTGAAATGGAGAGAACAGTTTTTAATGTTACTGCTTGAGCCTTATATCTAGACCTTATTGCTTAAGCCACTTTGAGTTTTTATCAGCTGCAAATTAACAGCTTCTTGACTAAAAAAGTCGTCACGGTTAATGTAAAGTAGTTATGCCAAGGCAGACAGACAAGTATATAAAGGACCCTGAGAAGTTACTTTTACAAACACTACAAATGTTCAGTATCTCCTTTTTATACTTTGGATAAGAGAAAGATTGAGTGAGCATTCTTTGTGTCGTGGTAAGCTACTCCCACCATGGACAGCTCTTTTTTTCCCCAACCAACATTTTTAATGACCATTGTCAAACATACAGAAGTTGAAAGACAAATACAACAATCACTCATATAGTACAAGTTGTCCCCCTGGGTAGAGTGCTGTGGCATCACTGCTCACAGCAACCTCCAACTCCTGGGCTCAAGCGAGTCTCCTGCCTCAGCCTCCCAAGTAGCTGGGACCACAGGTGCCCGCCACAATGCCTGGCTATTTTTTGGTTGCAGCCGTCGTTGTTTTGGTGGGCCGGGCTGGATTCGAACCTGCCACCTTAGGTGTATGTGGCTGGCGCCTTAGCCACTTGAGCCACAAGCACCGGGCCAATCTAACAACTCTTAATATTTTCCATCTTTTTCCTTTGGGGAGGAAGAGCCACAACATAAAAGTAACTTGCAGACATGGTAATACTTTAGCATTCTTCTTCTTGGAGGCTGGATTTTAATGTTAAAACTCTACAATTAGGGCAGTGCCTATAGCTCAAAAGGGTAGGGCACTGGTCCCATATGCTGGAGGTGGCGGGTTCAAACCCAGCCCCTGACAAAAACTGCAAAAAAAAAAACAACTCTAAAATTAAACCTTCATTTGTTTTCCTTTTCCAGTATTCCTTTGAACTATTTGAGTATTTATTATTTTTTATAATTACTTCAGCATTCAAAGTGCTTTCTTTCTTAAATCCTAAAGTTACATGTTTGCAGTTTTCTCTAGAGAAACAAATTTTAAGAAGTACACATTATCTTTAAAACAGTTTCCCACATTACCAAGCACAGAAATTAGTATAATAGGCTAAGAAAGGGAAATGCTACTTATGTGTATGTTTAGGGACAATAAATACTAGACAGAGAAGAAATTCATCTAGTACTATGGGTAAGTAGGATACACATAATACCCTAATGCCAAATCTATTAGTCCCTCAAAAAGTCTCTTAAAATTAAAACTGAGCTTTCTAGATGGGCTCTAGCAGACAATGAAACTCCACATCAAAAAGGGAGAAGCAAAGTGGACTTCCAATCATCTGTGGAGACTCAAACTCACCTGGGATCTGGCTGTGAGGCGCAGAGCTGCTTCTTCTCCCTCTCCTGTGCTCTTCTCTGGGGAAAGGGGAGAATCTTGGGAAGACAGAGCTAAGGACAAGAAAGCATTAGTGACAGGGCCAAGAAGTATCTCGCTACTCGGATTTACAAGTCTAAAAATCCCTTTGCCATACTACATGTGCTCCCTACAAACACTGAGACTTAAGAGAGCCCCAAACAACCCACCACCTCCAGTAATCATGGAAAATGTAGAGCAATGTTGTAGTGGGGGCTTCAAATTCAGTTGCTATAACACATTCTGGAAGATAGAAATCTCTGATCTAGAAATTAGGTGTCAGTTAACTTCCCAGCTTAATTTGTACTAAATTAATGTCAGAGAAATAGGCTCAATGATCCTCTAAAATCACCCTGCAAACCTATGTATAATGTAGATTTCTGGACCCCACCTCAATGTAATTATCATTAGGTCAATCTCTAAGAAGTAGCGGGCAGCGCCTGTGGCTCAAAGGAGTAGGGCAACGGCCCATAT